ATGGCACAGCAGCTAGAGGCAGTCAGTTTTCTACTTCCCTTCTCTGTTCTGTGACCTACTCCTGTCCATTTCCCTTTGTAAGTATCCTTTTTTGTTTTGTGTTTTGAGATAAGATCTCACTCCGTAGGCTTACCTGAATATTGCTTTGTAGCTCAGTCTGACCTCAAACTTCTAATCCTCCTGACTGCTTGGAGGCATGCACCATTCCACTTGGATATTAAGTATCTCTTGGACAATCTCCGTACTTGTCACTCTCTACTACCATCTGTCTAAGTTATATTGGCTTAGTACAGCTGAAGTCAAATCTGGGTCCCATCAGGAGAGAGAACCTATATTATAAAACTGTGATCAAGGAAAGATTAACTTTAGTAATTATTAATTACAACAGAGGTGTAGCATGATGATGAAAAGTAACAGATGTGTAGGAATAGTTGATACCTCTAAGGCTGACGTAGTGTCCACAGCCAGCTTCTATGCTTGGTTGAAAATCTGTAGGCCATAGCTTAGTGATAGAATATTTACTTCACTGTTATGAGATCCTGGTCTTAATCCCCAGCATCAGAAATAAAACTAAAGCCTGCTTTTTGATGTGTTGAGGAAAGCTGTTCATAGATAGTACCTCAGTGGAGGTACTCTGCAGCAACCCTGTTGCAGTGTGTGTAGGGGACACCGAGCGCTATGAATGAATGAATACATAGCAGCCAGGCCCTGAAGAGGACTAAGAGCTCTGCGAGAGCCTGATGCTGGAGAAAAGTGGCACCTACTGCTTTCAGATGAGCATTCCAGAACCAGGAAGCAAAGCCCTTCTTCTGCAGTGTCTCTTCCATGCCCTTTTCTGACATAGCCTTAATGCTGACTGCAAGGGAAAAATCCAAAGGCCTAGGTACGTTTTCACAGAAGAGGCCAAAAGGTCAAGTTTGGAGCTGAAAAAGCAGCGAGTAAATTGATAACCCCTTTACCATAACCCAAAGCTAGCCAGCAGCTATTTTTTCTTTTTTCTCAAAAGATTAACTATTGGCAGAAAGCATATACTTCTTCCAAAGTCCAGAGTTCTGCACTGTGAGTGAGTCTCCTACTGGTGTTTGTCAAAGACTGTACAGTATTCCTGTTTGCCATGGATACTTCAAAATAGCAGTGGATCTTCAGGATCATAAGACCAAAGGATAGAGTAGGCCATTTTGTAGCCTGTGCTTGTTCCAAAATTTTGAGTACTTGTTCTCCCTTTTAAACTTTTCACCTTATGCTCTGAGTGTACATGGGTCAGACCAGTATAATCCCTATGGTTTATGCACCGTTTTGTTTGAATATGGTTGTTGGAATGGACAGTAGCTTGTCGTTTATTTTGGAGGAAATATTTTGAATCTCAGCCATTGCCATCTCCCAAACTTGAAACTTCACTGAAATGACAGTCACTTAAATTGTTTTGGGGGGATTCAGCTTCTCACCAAAGCATTTAGTGTACTTCCTGCTCATCAGATCTAACCAGCATAGTATCATCAGTGTATGTAGTGGACTGGTGGGTTGTGTGGGAAGTTCAGATTATTAAGATCTCTGGTCAGACACAGCAGCACACCATGTAGTCTCAGCTATTGGAGAGGCTAATGTGGGAGTAACAGTTGAGCCCAGGAATTTAAGACCAGTCTGGGCAGCGAGTCTTAAATGAAATTTTGCAGGCTGAATTACATGTATTATATACACCAGGAGAATTGACAATTCTGGGCACCACTGTGAAGGCTTTCTTTTGACTCTGCCAGTCAAAAGCAAATTACCTTTTGTGATTCTTACATATTGGTGTCGACAAACCCCATTTGATACCAGCTTGGTAGCTGCATACCATGTGCCAGAGGTTCTGCTATATCAGTGAAGATGCCTCATCTGGAAGGTAGCTTCAGTTAGAGTCACCATCCAATTAAGTTGATGATAATCCATAGTCATTCTCCAAGGGTGAACCTCTATGCCCAACTTTTGTGTCATCCTCTTATATAAATAATCTTGTCTATAGTCTGTGGCAATGGAGTTTGGGGACCATCTGTCAGGCTGCTGACATGTCCTGTGAGAGACATAGGGCTGTGAGCAGGAGCCTGGCTTGTGTGCCCTTACAGCTATAACCACAGAATGTTCTCTTTTGAAGGCCTCAGTTTCTGGCCAGAATGTGAACCACAGATGAGGAAGTAAATTCATGCTCTCGTACCATAACCCCAAACTAGAAGTCACAGAGGATCAGAAAGACCCAGAGCATTTGTATCAAAGACTTTTGTGTCTCAACCCTCCCCCATAGCAATAGAATAGAAAGCTTACTCTGGTACTTGTATGCAATTGTATGTTGGAGGTAAGCCAGCGGGGGAGAAGGGGTTGAGAAAGGTCTGAGTTAAATGTGAAAATATACGTCTTGCTATAGTTCTCTCTGGAAATGGTAGAATTGTGGGTCTTTCTCTCTCTTGGGGGGCTGTAATTTCTAAAATTTTAAACAAATTTAGAATAAGACAAAAGTTCTTATATAAATAGAAGGACACATCTGGTATTTAGGTCTTTAATGCTAAAGATGTATTTGTTTATTCATTTTGTTGTGGTACCCTCTTTTTTTTGGGGGGGGGGTCCGGTCATGGGGCCTGAACTCTGGGCACTGTCCCTCAGCTCTTCAGCTCAAGGCTAGTGCTCTACCACTTGAGCCACAGCACCACTTCTGGCTTTTTTTTTCTGCTTATGTGGTGCTGAGGAATCGAACCCAGGGCCTCATGCATGCAAGGCAAGCACTCTACCACTGAGCCACCTTCCCAACCCCATGTTGTGGTACCTTCTTACCATAGAGAATCTTGGGAAGAAGGAAGGCAGGAGTTGGTAGGCTAGACTGGAGTGGTAAAGAAGAGATGGGGTTATCTATTCTTATTAAGGCAGGGTGAAGTAGGTCCCAACCTTACTGGCTTCAGGGTGAGCCTTTGGCTCTCACAGCACAGCAAAGGACAGTGTCTTTTTTTTTTTTCCCCCCAGTCTTGGGGCTTGAACTCAGGGCCCTGGGTGCTGTCCCTGAGCTGCTTTTTGCTCAAGGCTAGCACTCTATCACTGGAGCCACAGTGCCACTTCTGGCGGTTTTTGTTTATATGGTACTGAGGAATCAAACCCAGGGCTTCTTGTATGCCAGGCAAGCACTCTTCCACTAAGCTACATTCCCAGTCCCAGTGTCTTCTTTAGCACATGTGAATAGGACTTTATTAGCAGTGTCACAGAAATTACATTACATAAGAACTGACCATTGGTATGCACAGTCTCAACTGAGCTTTGAGCAGATAAATCATAGCATAAAATTACCTTTGGAATTTCAAACAAAAGTTTGTAAGTTTGCTTTGCAAAAAGATAAAAAGAAATCTGTCCCCTTTGAGGAATGTTGAGGATCAAATAGTGCCTCGTGTATACTAAGCAAGTAATCACTAACTGAGCTACATCCCTAGACTTAGAAATCCCCATAAAGCAACAGCTCTCTAATAGCAGAACACTTGAAGCACAGGACTTTGCCTAGTCACCTTTTCATCATGCCTGAGCATGCAGCTTTGCTTACATCATGGCTTGCCTATGGTTTTGAAAAGGCACAATTTGAAACAGTACAATGCTGTTTGTTCCCATTTTCTATTCTGAATTTGGATTTGGAATTTCATAGAAGCATTAACAAAGAACTATAGAAGCTAGTCTCCTAAGCTTGTGGAGTGAGTGTGTGTGTGTGTGTAAAGTAGGGCCCAGCTTCTTTCTTTTTGCCTCTTGGAGCTTGGGTGGTTTCTCTTCAACCCCTGAAGGCTGTGGGAGCTGTGGTAGGCATGAATGCCAGATTCTCCCTCTGCAGACCTTAAAAGGATGCTTTCCCTGCTGAACCTGACACCCAGAGAAGTGTGGTTCTGGTGTGGGGTTGTAGTTAGAGCTGGGACAGACAAGGCACATGCTGGGGTTTGTGGTCTTCTAGTACAAGGTACTGAGAGGAAAGTAGGTGGGAAGGACGCTTGTGGGTGGTAAACTTCCTTTACACTGAGGACAGGGGCCCAAGGCTGGAGGGGGAGCCTTGCTGAGATGGTGAGGAGGACCTCTCATTGAGCTGAGGACAGTGATATCCTAGAGAGGGGCTATGTTTCTTGTCTAGGGGCTCAGTGCCAGTTGAGAGCCCAGTTGGGGCCACAGCCTGGCTTCCTTTGCTAACCCATTGCTCCCTGTTTCGGTGGCAAGGCTGGGAGCTTGGGAGAGGCATCTGCCCTTGGGCGGTTTCCTCACACCAGAGCCCCAGCTGTCAAGGATAAGGGGAGCGACACATTAAACCGGTCCTGTGCCACGGGTCTGGGTTGGAGCAGAGAGCCCCTACTGCCCTTTGCAGGTGTTGTGTTGGACAAGGTTTCCAGGCAGGGCTGGGCTCTTCCCTCAGATGGAAGAGATGGATCTGACTCCATGCTGGGATGACAAGGTGTCACTCTTACTCAGCGGCAGCCAGAATGTGTCCTGACCACAGGTGCTCACCAGATCAATGTGAAACAAAAAGCACAGGTGAACAAATAGATCAGTGTCCATTCAGTTGGGGCTGGCTCTGAGCAGATTTCTAAAGTGGCCTAAGTTTGCTTCAAGGTTGCTTCAGGGTCGCTTTCTAGGTCCTTCTAAAGGTCATCTAACTCTGCTCCACCCTAAGGTGCTGCCCCTCTCTAAGAAAATGGTGGGCAGGAGGAGAGAATTGGAGCTCCAGGAGGTGGGGTGAGCTGACAATAGTGGCTTTGGCATCTGAAGGGGAGACAGCTTTGGACAGTAGAGTCTGACTTCTTCTGAGGTCTAGGAAACATTGGCCTTGGCAGAGCAGGTCAGATCTCCAGGGTCAGCCAGTCCGGTGAACAAGGAAGGTGAAGGAATTCCGGCCTCGGCAGGAGCTAAAGAGATCTTCGACAGGCAAAGTGGTAGGGAATAAAGATGTCCAAAAGAGCCTTTTCCTGGTGGTACCAAAAGAGGTCCTTAGGAGTCTGGAGCTGTGCCTAGGAAGGTAGGATGGAGCAGCCTTCAGGAACCACCACCTTCTTCCTGCTTGCCAGACACCCTGGAAGTCAAGCCTACCCCATCCCCAGCTAAGACAGACTTACCTGAAGGCTGAGTTCCCATCAGAGATAGGGGCTTCGGAAACACTGGAGAGGGCTGAAGGTGGCTGCACACACTCCTAGATCCTGTCACAGGAAGAACATTAGAGCCTCAGCTCCCCAATCCCCGATCCTAAAGTCTAGAAAGCAAGGAGGGTGAAGGGAAGGCCTCAGGCGGGAGTTGAAGAGGGCTGGTACAGGGCAAGGCAGTATGAGCGGGGGGCATGGAGCCCCCCAGAAGGTTAATTCTCTCTCCACGTGGGCCTAATGCTCTTGGCATGATCTTTTCAGTCCTTCGTGACACTCTGAGCCAGAGGAGTTAGAGATGAGTCCTCACTCCATCCTCCCACCTACTCAGTGAACACAGCCCCATCCCCAAGTGCACATAATACCACAGCCTGTAGCTGTCCCTCCCACCCCATAGGTCTTCATTCTGTTGTGATGTTTTCTCTGCCTCTGAGATCACACCTTCTCTATTTGCAAACATGAAATCACCTAGTCCTGCACCTAGAAGCATGAGATCTCTGATAACCAGGAGGGTAGAGGCTCTGTTTGGGTCCGGTCGTGGGGCCTGAACTCTGGGCCTGGGCGCTGTCCCTCAGCTCTTCAGCTCAAGGCTAGCGCTCTACCACTTGAGTCATAGCGCCACTTCCGGATTTTTTTTCTTTTTTTTTTGCTTATGTGGTGCTGGGGAATCGAACCCAGGGCCTCAGGCATGCAAGGCAAGCACTCTACCACTGAGCCACCTTCCCAGCCCAGGGTAGAGGCTCTGAAAGGGAAGTCTAGTTGGAGAGATGGATGTACCTGGCAGATGGTACTGGCATCCGAGGCCTTGGGCCACAGGGCCAGCAGCTGGAGGGTGTGCTGCTCCACAAATTGCTTGCACTGAGGAAAGACAAACATGGAGTGGGTACGCCAAACCCATGACAAGACATTCTTGGCCACTGTACCTTGTTGGGTCATGCCGGGCACCTAACCATCAGCCCCACTGAGCAGCTCTGACTGCAAGTAAAACCAAAGTCTGAAGCTTTCTGTAGGAAAAGCATGGGGGTCAGGGCTGCCTCCTGGAAAAAGGATGTACTGGCTTGTTTCAGAACACCACCCTGCTTTAAGAAGGAAATGTAGAGGCTGGGAATGTGGCTTCAGTGGTAGAGTGCTTGCCTGGCAGGCATGAAGCCTTCAGTTGGATTCTCAGTACCACATAAACAGAAAAAGCCAGAAGTGACACTGTGGCTCAAGTGGTAGAGTGCTAGCCTTGAGCAAAAAGAAGCTCAAGGACAGCCAGTGCCCAAACCTTAAGTTCAAGCCCCAGGACTCACAAAAAAAAAAAAAAAAGGAAGTGTACTGTCATCAGCCACATACTGACAAGCCGTTAGGACTTTGAAGACAGCAGGTCCACTGTGCCACCATTAGTCACATAGAGAAGGTAGGGCACAGGGAGGGACCCAGGAGAGAAGTCCAGGCTCTTGTCCACTTCTATCTGCCATGGCTATACCAGGTACTGGCTGTGTCACCTATTACCTGGGCTACCACATGACCCACCTGGGTCATAGCACAGCTGATACACTTTGGAGCAGGTGGAGGGGACAGTGGGAACCTTCCCTTGGCAAGACTCCATTGGAACTAGCAGGACTCACCTTGCATTAACCCCTGACAGAGGCCTGCTGGCTCCTCTGAACCCACAGCCTTGTGTCTAGGATGACTTCCAATCTTGACTTTTGTGTCCAGAGATGACTTACAGTCGCTACAGTCCCACTATTGTCTGACCTAAGTCCTTTCTGCCTGTCTGGATTACAGTCTACCCTGCCCTATATGTTTCTGGCTGCAAAGCTTGTTTTGGTTCAGCCCTCCCCGCAGACAGGCTTAGACCTAAGTCCCTTGCGTGTCCATCTCTCACCTTCTGCTTATCTGAACTGTAGTTGAGGCAAGCCTGGTGCATTGCCTGCGGCATGGCCTGCTCGCTGCTGTTCCATGCCTGAGTGGTCACTGACATGCAGAGCTGGCACTCGGAGTCTTGCAGCAGCCCCTCCTCTGCCAGAGATCCTAGAGCTGGGGGGGCTAGAGAGAAAACAGCCAAATCTACCCTGCAGAAATTCCAGGCTGGGCTGGGGAAAGGAGAAGGAGGAGAGGTAGAGAAGCCGGGAGGAGAGGAGGGAGAGGAAGAGGGCAAGAGGGAGGTAGAAATGAAAGGGGAGGGGTGGAGAGGAGAAAAGAAGGGGGGGTTGCATAACCAGGACTGCAAAAGGACAGTGGCCAATGGGGTCACTGGGGACAGTGGGTGGGGTAGCATGAGGCTCACCTGGGACAATACCATTCTCAGTGGTGCATCGCAGGACAAGGCCGCAGACCAGCTGGGGCAGCATGCGACCCAGCAGTACATCCAGCAAAAGGACTGTGTAGCGCTCAGCCAGGCACTGACAGATGCCACCCACCACCAGGGGTACCACGTGGCACACCTGGGCCACAGCCACAGCCAGCACACCCTGGGATGGAGGTGGAGAGAGGGCAGCGTGGGACCTTCCCATGGCAAGATTCTACCCTGTCCAGGGCCAACCAAACACACCCCCACACACACACACACATATCTATCTACCTATCTCTATCTATCTATCTCTATCTATCTATCTATCTATCTATCTATCTATCTATCTATCTATCTATCTATCTATCTATCTATCTATCTATCTATCTATCTATATCTTATTCTCTTTCCAAGTAAGGGCACAGAGGATAAAGAACTAGGAGATTCAGGGGACACTTGAGTGAGTGATCATCCAGCAGTTCCTGGCTTGCCGAATGGGATGTGGCTAGCCAGAGAAAGGCGTGGCTAAGGCCACCAGCAGGGATGTGGACCCCACTAGTGTGATGCCTTTCAAATGGGGTATTTCACCAAAAGCATCCATGCACATTCAGCCTTTGCTCCTGCTCTGACATGACTCCTGGTTTTTGCTGTCAAAGGCCAGGCTGCTCAGTCCACTGAGTCCTTACCTTGTCTCATCTGGGAGTATCCTCTCTCGGCCTCAAGAACTCTCCAAGGTGAACTGGTGAGTTTGTTAACATGACTCCACTGACACTTGTGGCAGTGATGGAAGGATTTGCTATTCTTCCCCTTCCATTGTCTCTGGAACCTATTCCATTTGGGCTCTGTCCCCACCACTCCTTCAGAACACTGGCCAGGGTCACTCACAACCTGCCTTGCCATATCTGCGGGACACCCCTATGCCAGCCCGGGACTTGAAATTCAGGGCTTAGGTATGATCTCTAAACGTGTGCTCAAGGCTAGTGTTCTAACCCTGAGCCTCAGTTCCACTTCAAGCCCAGGCTGGCTTCAAACCTGGATCCTCAGATCTCAGCCTCCTGAGTGTCTAGGATTTCAGGTGTGAACCACCACTGATAATGCTAAAGCGCAGGTATTCCCTTCTGAAATGCCTTCTCCTGGCTTTGTGCCACACCACGGTCTCCCCACCCTCCGTCCCTGTCCCCAGCTCTTCTCCCTCAGCTTTTCTGTTGCTATCTCTCTTTTATCTGGTTCTTCAGTTCCACCTCTGCATATTCTGTTCCTTGCTGGCCTTCCTCCTCCTTTGATTTTTCATCTGGTTCACTCTCAGCTTGATCTTGCTGCTTGACCTTTTCCCCAGAGCTTGATGTCCAGCCACTTGCTTAACCTCTCTCTTTCTGCATATGGCACATCCAATTTAACAAGAAAGAACACTGTTTCCTCTCAAGTTCTCCTATTCAGCCAGTGGTGTTATCAGAGACCCAAAGGGTGTATGGGTCATAAGGATTGCTCTCATGCCCTCACTCCTGCAGACCATCCATTGCTAAGGCCAGTCAAGCCCCCGCAACACACCCCTATCTACCCTCTTAGCTCCATCCTGCCCACCACCCCATTGTGACTATTCTTCAGTAATCTGTTAAGTTTCTTGCCTGATTTTATTTTGCTTACCTGCCCAATGGAGTCTCTGTGTGTGTGTGTGTGTGTGTGTGTGTGTGTGTGTGTGTATTTGTGCATGTGTGCATGCTGGAGCTTGAACTCAGGGGCTGTCCCTTAGCTTTTTTGTTCAAGGCTGGCACTACCACTTGAGACACAGCTCCACTTCTGGATTTTTTTTTTTTCTTATGTGGTTAATTGAAAATAAGATTCTCTCAAGTATGCCTTCTTGGGCTGCCATCAAACCATAATCCTCAGTTCTCAGCCTCCTGAGTAGTTAGGATTATAGACATGAGCATGGGTGCTTACCTTCCCATCTATTCTAGCAGCAAGAGTGATCTTTCTCCTTGGTGAAATTCTGCACTAGCTGTAAATGACATTCAGAATGATAGCCTTTGTCTTTTTTTTTTTTTTTTTAACTTGTCTTAACAAGGTCTGGATGGCGTGATTGGGCCATCTCTCTTTTGCTGGTCCTCCTGCTTCAGCCCCATTGGCTGCCAAGCTCATTCTTGCTCTAGGCCCTTGGTCTATTGGGGCCTTGTCCTCTCAACCTAACTGTCACCTCCTCAAAGCCTCTCTCTGTCTTATCAGCCTGATATCACTGTTCGTCCTTACCCTCTGCTATGAATCCTTAGTGGCCAGAGGGCAGACAGGACCTTGTTTGGGCTGGGTTATGAGAGAGGGCATCTCTGGGCTGAGGGGTTATTGGGCAAAAGCCACTACAGATTTGGGTAACTCAATTCAGACGCTGGCCATGTTGGGAAGCTTATCTGTGGACATTCTCCCTTTGAGAATTAAAGCATCTTTTCTACAGAGACAACTGGAGATTCTTCGCCATTAGATACTGAGCTGGGGCAGACAAGGCTGAGCCTTACCTATTCTCATATATCTGAGCCTTGGGATTCCTTGGGTGGGGACAGTGTACAAATGGCTCCTCTCCTAACTCTGGCAGAGCTGGACTGTACAGAGCTGTGAATGGGCAAAGGGGGAGCTGGGAGAGGTTCACCCAAGCTCCATGCCTGCTGGTCGCCTCACCTTGGGGATCACGACTTGGACTCGCTTGAGGAGAGTCTTGCAGAGCCAACAGTAGGGCAGGGGGATGGGGAGCCTCTGCTCAGAGAGGTCCTGTGGGAGAAAACAGAGTGGAGGGCTGGGAGCTGGGAGAAGGCATCCTGAGGGCCTTGCCTGCCCCGCCTCCTCCTCCCCTTCTCTCCTTCCTGACAGGCTCTGTCCCAAACTTCTAGTGCCTTCTGGCTCTTCTCCCAAGTGCTCAAGAGGCCTCAGCTGCCACTCTAACCCTGTTGTTCCTCACCTGATTTCCTTACCTGAGTATGAGGCCCAAACTGCTTAAAGACGGTCCCTTGCAGCATAGGGAGGGAAAGCTTGTCTGGTAGAGGGTCAGGTAGAGAGTTTGCCACCCCTGGCTCCTGCTCTGTCTCTGGCTGCCCAGACTGGCACAGGCCCACATGCCGGCAGACAGTCTTTGGGGTCTAGGGCACAGTAAGGATGGGGGGCTGTTAGGCTCATGCTCAGGCTGGTCCAAATGCTCAGAGACAGGGAATCAGGGAGGTGGGAATGATGTGTCCCAGGGCTCCATGGAAAAGGGGATGGAAGGCAAAGATGGGCAGGGGGTGGGGGGAGGGAGAGGGAGGAGAGACTTGGGGAAGGTGCCTAGGAATGTGTGTGAATGGTTGTGAGTTTGGGTGTGAGAGAGGGAGGATGTGTGAGTCTCTATAAAGTGTGCAGGCTGCTGTGCGCTGCTGAGCAGTTAAAGCTCTGACCTAGGTTCCTGACTGAAGAGCATGTTTCCTGGGCCTGTTGTGGAATGGGGTGTGTGTGTGTGTGTGTGTGTGTGTGTGTGTGTGTGTGTCTATCTGAGTGCTGTGGAAGTTGTGTGTATGTGTGTGTGTGGGGGGGGTGTGGATGCACATGCACACATGTGTATCCCTGGGGCTTTGTCCAAGTGGTGGGAGGGCAGGTCGGGGCCTCACAATCTGGCTCTGGAAGTAGTCGATGACCAGGGGGAAGTAGACTTCAAGCACGTGGCGGCACTGGGGCACTAGCAGCTTCAAGGGGAGGACGTCACACTCATGCTCCAGGAACTTGCGAATTGTGTCCTGGGAGGACAGAGAGGAATGATCAGCTTGGCCTTTCCAAGGCCTGCTTCCATCTGAGTGTCTTGCTGCAAAGCTGCCACCAGAGAAAATTGGCCCACTCCGCTGGAGCACTATAGGACCCTCCTCGTCTGGCAGGGCCATCTGGCTGTGGCTGAGCTCAGTCCCAGGGCCTGCTTTGGTCAGGAGTGTGGAGTTGCAGGCTTCACCTTTGACCTGAAAATGCCCTCGGTTTGGTCTTCATCTCTTTTTCCCTAAACTCTATTTAGGATCTGGACATCTTTACCTGGAAAATGGCCTCCTTAGCCACTTTTGTAAGGATGCGGATGATGTCTTCACACTCCTGGCATAGGTCATCCTGGGGCGGGGGGCCAAAGGGGATACATGAGTAGAGTACAGAGGGAGGCTCTCTTGGGCAATTGCTGACAAGTAACTCCAAAATACCGGCAACTGCCCACCATCCCACTCCATCCATCTTACTCTAGCCCCACTCTATGCCATCACATTCCTAGGAGGACTTCAAGCCTCTTAGGCCCATTCAGAGCCCACCCAGCATCTCCTTCTCAGACCCCCACTGTAGCCCTTGGATGATACTCACAGCTTCCACATGCCCCCAGACTTCCTGCAGGCAATGCCCCAGGGCTTTACACTGCACAGCTTGCTCCAGGTTTTGGCACCAGAACTCGGGACCCTGGGCACAGGCCGGGGATGAAGTGGTCCAGACAGCTACAGTTTGGAACCAGAGCAACTTTTATCAGGAACCACCATACACATGCCACCCTGATTTTACCTAGCCTCAAATTCAATTTTGCTGCAATTGTATGGCCATCACACATGTCAAACTGTGCTAAGTCTCCTTCCAGGATGTACTATTTCTTTTTTTCTTTTTTTTGTCAGTGATGGGGCCTGAACTCTGGGTCTGGGCACTGCACTTCAGCTCTTTAGCCCAAGGCTAGTGCTCTACCACTTGAGCCATAGTTCCACTTCCCGCTTTTTCTGCTTTTGTGGTGCTGAGGAATAGAACTCAGGGCCTCATGCATGCAAGGCACTCTACTGCTGAGCCACCTTCCCAGCCCCACCTGGGAGTTTTTCTAGGCCTTAGTTGTCATGAGTTGGGCATTAGTGACTCATGCTTGTAATCCTAGCTACTTGGAAAGCTGAGATAAAGAGAATCTCTAGTTAGGACCAGGTTGGGTGAACAGTATATATGCCCCAATTTTAACAGAAAAGAGCTGGGGCCAGGTGCCGGTGGCTCCTGCCTATAATCCTAGCTACTCAGGAGGCTGAGATTTGAGAATCATGGTTCAAAGCCAGCCTTGGCAGAAAGTCTATTAGACTCTTATATCTAATTAACCACCAGAAAACCAGAAGTGGTGTTATGGCTCAAAGTGGTAGAGCACTAGCCTTGAGCAAAATAGCTCAGGTACAGCACCTAGGCCCTGAGTTCAAACCTCTTGACTGATGAAAGCAAGCAGGAAGGAAGGGAGGGAGGGAGGGAGGAAGGAAGGAAGGAAGAAAGGAAGGAAGGAAGGAAGGAAGGAAGGAAGGAAGGAAGGAAGGAAGGAAGGAAGGGAGAGAGGGAGGGAGGAATAACTAAATAAACTAAAGCCAAAAGGGATGGAGTCTGGCACCCTAGCTACTTAGGAGGCTACGATATGATAAATGAAGTTCAAAGCCAGTCCTGGGAAGACAAATCAGAAAGATCCTAATCTCCAGCAAAAAGCTGAAAGTGGGCTGGGAATGTGGCTCAGTGGTAGAGTGCTTGCCTAGCATGCATGAAGCCTGGGTTCAATTCCTCAGCACGACATACACAGAAAAAGCTGGAAATGGTGCTATGGCTCAAGTGGTGGGTACTAGTTTTGAGCAAAAGAAGCTCAGGAACAGTGCCCCGGCCCTGAGTTCAAGCCCCAGGACTGGCCATATAAAAGAAGCTGAAATTGGAGATGACTTAAGTGGGGTAGTACCAGTTGACTGAAGAAGCTGAGCGAGTGTATGAGGCCCTGAGTTCAAGCCCCAGTACCAGCACATGTACAAAACAGGGCTGTAAACAAGTGCTTAGTAAGCACAAGGCCTTAGTACTTAAAAAAAAAGATCAGGATTATGTACAGACTCGGGATAACTGGGCAGAGCTAGTGCTCAGTAAGTGGTAGAGATGCCTCCATAACAGAGGCTGGGGAGACTCACCAAAGCCTGGACCACAGAGCATGAGCAGCAGCAGCAACCATGGCAGCAGGTATGACTTGGCCATGGCACCTGCAACCTGGGCATCCTGCTTGGGGCAGGGACCCTTATAGCTGGGGGTGGGAGGTGGGGGTGGAGAAGGCCTGGGGAAAGGACCTCAAGGGAGAAGCATTGACCTCAGTGTTTGCCTGGGTCCTGGAGAGCTCTCCAGGTGCTTTGATCCCGCCTCTTCCCATCAGGAACTCTCCTGCCTGCCTTTGCCCTGTCTTGGCCCACGGCCTGACCCTCCTCTCTTTGCCTCCACACCAGCCCCCATGTTCTAGGAGTCCTGGTTCTCTCCAAACAAGGGGCCTCCATACTTGGTCCCAGTAATCTGGGCTTTGGAAGGGAAGATGAGGCAGGGCCACATTGAGGGATAATGTGAGGCCTCTCCCCACCCCCACTCCTTCTCCCCCAGATGCACTCCATTTCTCTGCTCTTGAGCAATGCTTTGAAGAGCTTCCTGCCTGGCTCTTGATCTAGAGTAAGCTCCGGAAGGGCAAACTCTGGACCCTCCTGGTGCCACCTACCTCCCACTCCATCCTTCCCCTTCCCCCTAGACACATGATTGGCAACGGGCAGAGAGTGTTTACATGAAATGAAAGAATGCCATGAGTGCCCGAGACTGGGATGTGGGGGATTGAGATTTCTGTGGGCCAAAATGGCTCTCAGCCTATTCAGGGGCTGCTGCCCATGGCTTCTAGGGACTCCTCCAGAGCACAGCTAATGGCTCAGAGATGGTCTTTTGAGGCTGTGAAGTACTCATCTGGGTCCCCACTGGGCACATTGGAGTTAAAACTCCCAGGATGCTGTGGGGCAGGCACTGTTGGAGAGTAACACTCATTGCTGGAGCTCTGTACCTGGTGGAAGATCCCAGGCCTCTGGATGCCAGGAGCACTCCAGGGCTCATGGGGAGGGAGAGTAGGAGCTTGGCACCTGATGAACATAGTTGGACACAAGATGGTAAAAAAATGACACATTCAAGATCACTCAAGGCTTCGTGTGGTTTCTGTTGGCCTCAAGCCCTTGTTACTATGACAAACAGAGTTGCCATTGTGGGAGTTAACCAACAGTGTGTGAGAATGTGTGAACCAAAGATTGGGAACCCAGCAACTTGCATAAATAGCTAGGGTGGTGGAGCTGGAATGTGCTAGTAATTTAGTATGTGTTAAATGTATATGAGCCAAAGGGCTGAGAGGTTAGTTCAGGGGGAAAGTGTGGATTTAGCATATACGAGGCCCGACATTCCATCTCCAGCACCCAACATGCAAAAAGCTAGATGAAATAAACAAACGAGCTGAGCTGTGTCCTATTTGGATACAATTAGGGCAAAGGGATTTATGGATGGTCCCTCCAGGATTATATTGGCCAGGGAACGACAGTACCAAAATCCCTTCAAGCTCTCCTTGCATACATGATTCCTTCTCATTTGTGTCACTGGGCAGAGCAGGTTAACTTCAGGTGGGGAGGTTCTGTTCTACATGGCCATTCAGGGGCCTGGGCCCCTCCCTGTGCTTGCTCAGTCCTCCCTGGGTCCCTGCAAGGGATGGAGAGAAAGAGCAGGAGGTAGTGAAGGAAGTTTTAGGGACCAGGGCTGAGAGTGGTGGTCTTATTGCTGCCCACCTCAGTTAACATGACTCCCACTTAATCCCAGGGGAGGGCGAAATGCCATGTCTCATATGACAATCAGGAAAGGGTAATGGGATCGGTGGATAGGAAGGGTCTCAAAACCTTCATATCAAAGGCAAACCTGTAGAGTTTTCTAGATGAGGGGTCCAGACTTCCATCAAATCTTAATAGGAGCTCTCCATACCGTTGAGAGCTGCCGGTCGAGAGTACAAATACAGGAAACATAAAAAGCAAGCCTTTTATAATTCCTTTAGTAGACAGCCCCTGGCTCGGCATTCTCTGGTTTATTCTCTCTTTCACAGTCTCTATTCAGAATTGGGGTTCCTTTGGGGCCTAGCCGCAAGGAAGCCTGATGGGACTGTCTATGCCGTTGTCACTGTAAATGAATAAACTTACCAAAGAAGAGGCATTGGTCATGAAGGCATATAGCTCTAATCCCAGCACAGGAGGATGAAGCAGGAAGATTATGAGACTGAGTCCAGCTTGGGGCTACATAGCAAGAGTGTTTCTAAAACAAAACAGCTGGGTGCTGGTACTCATACCTGTAATGCTAGCTACTCAAGAGGCTGAGATCAGAGGATCATGATTCAAAGTCAGCCAGGGCAGGAAAGTCTATGAAACTTATTTACAAAAAACCAAAAACCAGAAGTGGAGCTGTGGCTCAAGTGATAGAGCACTAGCCTTTGAGCAAAAAAGCTCAGGTTCAGCACCCAGAACCTGAGTTCAAGCCCTAGGACTGGCACTAACCAACCAACCAACCAACCAACAGCAGCAACAGAACCAAGAACAGAAGAGATAAGGAATAGAAAAGAGCCCATTCTGACAGCTGTTGCAGCTGTGGGAGAGCATGACTAGCCTGATTGACAAGGGACAGCTCCCTTCCTGGTGTGAGGGATGGAAGGGAACCTTGTTTTTCTTTGTGACTATGGACAGTATGAAAATCCCAGCCATGGGACCTACGATCTGGAAGCTGAGACAAAACAGGATCCATAAAGTGTCACGTTTTATATTCAAATCCCTTCTGTCTGTTGTGATTGAACAGTGGAATTTCTTTTTGTTCCTTTTGTGGCATTTCAGGTTGTCGTTCTCTGTTGGTGTTCTGGCCTATGTCTTTCCTCCTCTTACCCATCCCTACCCTTGAGTAATTGTGGTGGTGCTTCTTCTTCTTCTTCCTCCTCCTCCTCCTCCTCCTCCCCCTCCTCCTCCTCCCCCTCCTCCTCCCCCTCCTCCTCCCCCTCCTCCTCCTCCTCCTCCTCCTCCTCCTCCTCCTCCTCCTCCTCCTCTTCTTCTTCTTCTTCTTCTTCTTCTTCTTCTTCTTCTTCTTCTTCTTCTTCTTCTTCTTCTTCCTCTTCCTCTTCTTCCTCTTCCTCTTCTTCCTCTTCTTCTTCTTCCTAGTACTGGGGATTTGAACTCAGGGCCTTGTGCTTGCTAGGCACAGGCACTCTACTGCTTGGGCTACACCCCTAGATCCTCTTGCTTATGAAAATGTAGTATCTGTTTTAGGGGTAGGGACTATGGAATATCAAATGGTAACATCACCCCCTGGGAAGTGTCTCATAATAGTCTTCTGGAGTATAGTCTCTTTCTTTTACTTTCAAAAATTTTTTTCTAGAGGATAGGAGAGGAAGTAAAGATCATTGTTTGCAATGATCTTTGACTAAAACCTAGTTAATGAGCTGGGTATGGGAGGATAGTGGGTGTATGTGGGTAGAATGCTGAGCAGTAATCAGTATGGGGCCTGAATACTAGGCCTGGGGAGGAGAGACTCTTTCAAGGGTAAGACCACTAAGTGGAGACTAGGGGAAGCACAGGAGTTGGCCTGGTAAAATGGGGAATGGGGAAGCATTCATTCTTGCAGACTCACACCTGTAATCCTAGCTACTCAGGAGGCTGAGATCTGAGGATCCTAGTCCAGAAGCCAGCCTGGGCAGGAAAGGCTGTCAGACTCTTACCTTCAATTAAACATCAAAAAGCCAGAAGTAGAGTTGTGGTTCAAATGATAGAGCACTAGCCTTGAGCAAGAAAAGCTCGGTGTCCCTAGGACTGTGTGTGTGCATGCACGCACGCGTGCGCGCGCACACACACACATACACACAAAGTGAGAGTTCAAGACAATGAGTTCAAGCTATAGTATTGGCACCAAATAAATAAATTAAATTAGATTTGTTCCTCTGGGGAAGTGGCTTTCCTTCACTGATATAGGCCACTGTATTATTTAGAGGCCTCTTGATTACAAGCATTAGAAGTCTTAGCTCATTCTGGATGATAAAAACAAAAAGATAATTTCTTGTTCAATTAATTAACCAAAGCCTGCCATTGGGGACTCATACCTGTAACACTAGCTTTTTGGGAGGCTGAGATCTGAGGATCTTGATTCAAAGCCAGCCCAGGCAGAAAAATTTGAGACATATCTCCAATTAGCCACCAAACAGAAGTGGAGCTATCGCTCAAGTGGTAGAGTGCCTTGAATGAGAAAGCCAAGAGAGTGTGAGATCCTGAGTTCAAACCCCAATACCATCACAAAAATCAAAACAAACAAACAAAAAGAATTAACCTGTCCACAGACAGCTTCTGGTACAGAATGATCCAGAAACACATGGCATCAGCAGCAGAGTTCTTGTTCTATTTTTTCACAAGTTTCCAGTTCTTTCCACTTCTCTATATTGATACTGGCCTGAGGCTGGCTTCCTTCTTGGCAGCAGAAATAATTGTGAGGTGCAGCCCTCTCATCTTTGCAGCATGGAACTCGGAGGGAAAGAGGACTCCTTTGGCAGTCCTGATCACCGGTAACCAATTACAGGTGTGAGTCACCAGTGCCTGGCAAACATTCTTTGATGATACTTACCTTCATTTTTTCCCACAGCCCTTTCCGTCTCCCCCTCCTCCTATACACTGGGCATTTAAACTTTGTGTTGGAGCAAATCTGGCTATCTGGTCACCTTTTCTACTTCACCGCAGGCTTGTTATTGTTACTGGCTTGTTTGTTTGTCTAGTAATTGGCTGGATTACTTTAGGAACTGAGTTTGAAGACTGTGGTGCTCCTGAACCCTGGAGGCTTAAAATAGTGCCCCAGCCTGGCAACACTTTCCCAGTCTCTGAAAACACCAAGCTGTTAAACTATACTAATTTCTGGCTGATGGTTCTATTGTTTTCAATAGTGCCTGAGGACATAAATAAATTGGTTTATGGAAGAATCCAGTTAACCTAGCCCTAGTCTGAGATTTGTTCAAAGCAGCCCTCTTCACAGATGTCTTTTCCTCCCATTTCTTTTCTTTTTTTGGGGGGGGGGGGGAGCGTAGGGCGGTCGTAGGGCCTGAACTCTGGGCCTGGGCACTGTCCCTCAGCTCTTCAGCTCAAGGCTAGCACTCTACCACTTGAGCCACAGCGCCACTTCCGGCTTTTTTCTTTTTGCTTATGTGATGCTGAGGAATCGAACCCAGGGCCTCAGGCATGCAAGGCAAGCACTCTACCACTG